CGACTCTTCGTCCCTTTGGCAGAGAAGGTCCGCGCCCAGAACCATTGCCCTAGCAATTGAAAGAAAGATCATAAGGTTTGATTGTAGTGCCGGGACAGGAGAATCGTCCTCGAGGACGGCAAAGGACTCGACGACGTTGATACCTTAGTTGATGACGGCTTGAGACGCTTAGATTATGCCGTTCCGGACGGCACCAAGGGGGAAAGGTTTCAGGTTGAAGCAAATGATGATGATGAATTTGATTCGGCTACCCTTTAGGGCCCATCACAAGTCGGTGTCCTTTTGCTCGCCGGGCTCTACATGATAATTATTCGAGAAGACGACCTGGAGTGACACGACAATCTAAACATACCAGACGATACGCAAGCCGAAGTAGTTGATACCACCGCCAGTCAGTAGGCGATGGACATCGACGGGGCTATAACGGCCTCCAGGGACGGCGAGGCCTTGCGCAAAGCTTCCTATAGACTTCAAGCCAGTACAGGACTTATCCAATAACGATTGCGGGAGTCTTAAGACAGAGACTTGGCGTTGGACGCTTAGTAGGGATGATTAAACCGAGGTTGTAAGTGTTGGCAGCTCGAGTGATGGGCATGTGCCCCTCGATGCGCACGGCGGACTGAGTTTAGGTGTTTTGTACCAACTCAACGGTGTGCGTGACCTCTGCGTCAAGCTCGGGTCCCCAGAGGCGGCCGTGATTGAAGATGCACCTCCGAGAGCAGTCTACTGCGCATCTGTGAGTGTTCATCAATCGTGTTCGAGGTGTGCCGTTCATGTGTGCGTCATGTAATGTTTGCAAACGGACTTGCTCGAATGTCCTTGCCAGCTTCAGAAAGCCAGCTGGGGTAAGGTCTCTCCGAACTGAGCGCATCCATTCACGTTCCCGCTTTTGCCTGCTTATTCAAGCACATTCTCAATGATCTTCATAAATCAATACCAACACAAATAACCCATAAAGTGCTATCACTTTGTACGCATACTTGCGTCCCACTCGTTAACTTACTATGAGACCGTAACGCCGTCTCATCCGACACAATAACTCTAGATATCGTCTCTATAGGGTCTTTCATATCATCCTGCCTTTGAAAATTTGATATCAGCAAGTTGAAGAGGAGACAAGGCTTGGTTGAATATCCTCTCATGGAGAAGTTTCCAATGGAGTGTGGACCGAAAATAAAGTGCTGCGCTTCAAATAGACAAGCCTGGGTTACGAATGTGGCGCATACATCCAATGATCTCAAGACAACAGCCAGCAATGTTCATACTAAGATGCGAAAGGCTGGCACCCGTGGGCTGAGAAGCAACCGCATCAGAACGCCTCCTACTTCCATTTTATCCGACAACACATCATAAGTGGTCATTTTTACGCAGGATGAGCTGTCGTTTAATACTTCACAGTTGTGGAAAGCTGTCTATCGGCTGCGCCAAGTTCAAGGAACCTTCAACGGAGGGAACTCCGCCGATGAGGTCCGCTTCATCGTTAGCCAGGGAAACAGAAAGCGATAAGGACAAGCTCATGCCAGACACCGTCTTTGGCAGATTCCCCAAGGCAGCAGGAAAACAGATGCTGTCGAACAATTTATCGACCAGATCGAGAGACTTGGACTGACACCCCCAAAGCCTGAACATGGCTCTTTGGACGCATCTTCATGACCTTCGACTTCATTCGCGGGCTTTATTGCTGACCGTTCTACCAAGTTGTTTGCGTGTCAACATACACTGATGCGTCTACATCTCGACAGCTCTCGGTTGTGCTAAGGATCATCAGGAGTTCATCCTTCATCTGATCAAAAAAGCCGCTCAAAGGACCCAAACCTCCTTTCCTTTGTTCATTTACAAGCCAAATTCACAACTAACTGTGAGGGAGACATGGGCGACAGCGCGGACTTCAAAAGCTTACCCCTGGGTCAGAGTGAGGCCGCAGGCATCTCTGATATTCTGCTGTCTTCCCACGCTTCCACGCTTCAGACTTTGTGTACGTCCTAAAGCTCGCTCAGATGCTCCCTCGCGCAGAGGATTCAACGACTACTTGGGATAATTGGATGATCGACGTCTGGACTGAAAGCATCCACGGCTGTGCCTTGAGGCGCTGCGGATCCTGCTACAGCTTTCGCTGACTTTGACTTTGTGGTTCGCCCCGGGGGTCCAGCTGTTGTAAGCGGCAGCGACGTTTGATGTTCAGCTTGACGTGGTGAATTTGAAGAATTCGCTGATATGTCCCCCGTGGACCACTGTCGCGACCAATCTCTTTGCAGCCAGCGTTAATCCCAAAAGCTATGACAACCCATAGAGGTCCACCCCTGATGATTCATCCCAATGTCACCGGCCGATGAGATGGTAATTACCCAGCTTTTCGTTGCTTGGAATGTGATCGTGCCCTGTGAAAGGGTGTGATGAGCCCCCTTCGCTATTCTTTGTGTGACACCCGGGAGATACTTGCCACACACAAACATGCCTGCCTGCAGATGCGACTGATAATCCCCAAGATGCTTTCCAAATACGATCGGATTCTGACAGCAAACGATGTGAATAAACACCGCGATATGTAGATACATCTGTTGTGGAAGAGGCGAGTGGTGATGGTCCAGCTCACAGGTGTTTGGTGAGAACAGGTCCGTCCTTCAGCCAGCAAATTAAATCCGGACTCCAGACTTAATGAAGCTACGCCTACAGCATTGCAATGAATTATTAGACCAGAGATTCATGGTCAATTCAAACATAAAACAGCCTGGGCCACTTAATTCATCGTCCATGACATTGACGAATGATTGTGAACAAGACTGCATGGCAACATGATTTCTTCCCCACGCCCCCCTTTTTCTCGTTTGAAAGATATTCAGCCTTGAGCCATCAGTTTCATGACTATCTGCATTTACCTGCAGTTTTCAACTTGCTGGCCTGATATTCATGGTCTGTAAATTACTTCCCGCAACCTCTGGTCGATTCTTTATGTATTGCTGGGGCCCTTAAGGCTCCGAAGCAACGCCTAGCACATTTTTTCATTAGGGAAAGTAAACTCGGACTTGACCAATCTGATTTGTTTGAGACCCAGAAGGGTGCTGCCGATTTCCAAGCCCGAAATCATCCGCTGCGTGGAAATCGGCAGCAGTTATCCAGGCCCCTCAGCATTACTTGGCTAAACGCTTCGGTAGTACTTGTCTACATCGGCAGCACGTTTGTGACGTTTCCATCTCCACGAGAAAGGTGACCCATGCCCAATAAGAGGATTGCAGGAGAGTTGGATAACGCCACAAGGTATTGTTGCGTTGGCGATCGACGGCCGATTCCACCACGCGGCGAAATTGGCAGGACTTGATAGCAGAGTTGAGCAGCTATTGCAAGGTCCCGCAACAATAAGACCATGCAATGTCCCTAGGCATTGCTGATTGATTGGTGTGCTGAGGCTCAGAAAAGTGCTGCCGGGAAATTGACATCAGTTGTCCCTCCCATCAGCACAAGAAACCTTGCATCGTCACGGTTAGAATCCAGGAATAGGTCCAACACCAAAATGCAAATACTCCAAAAGAAGCAATCCCCCATCTTCTACATCGCCTTCCCCCGACAGACGCGTCCCAGACCATGCACTACTAAGCGCGCTTTGCGCGACACCCCCAGGTCTCGCCGGGCGGCTTCCCAGATCCCATCTTTTGCCTTTCCATTTCAGCCCATCAAACGGGTCCTGATTGGTTCCAGGCGCTAGTCCCACTACTGCAGGCGCAGGGTGTGGCTCTTCAAGGACGCGGCAGCTCCACGTGTCGCAGTGCTGCCCGCTGCAGACCGGCGCACTGGGAGGAGGAGAGCAGCAACTGTGAGCCTTTGAAAATTGTGCAGGATTCAAAGACCTTGATTGAAATGTGAATATCGCAAGTAGGCACTTTCTAGTTCTGTGTTTCCCAACGTTGGCTGCTTCATCCGAGACCATGACCGACGCAACATGATCCCATCAATTCCTCCCCGCGACCAGCGGCCAAGTCCTGCCATTCAGTGTCAAAGCCTCCCGGGAATTGATTGCGACGAATGGAAGAACATGCCCCAATGCCTGAAACTTCCGTCCGTTTCCGCTCAAATTTGCTCCGGCTGATGGGAGCGGTGCATCGCGAGTCGCCTCTGCTCCGCGTGGTTGTCCTTGGACCAGGGTTGAGCAGCAGGGTCATGGACAGTTCCAGTTGTGTCAATGCATCGCCTGCTTCATGTACTAATGTGCATAGCGGGCTTCTCCATTCGACTGTCGAAGTCTTTATGATTCAATGCACCCCTCACAACAGCGAAAATCATGATGTTTCTGGAGGCAACAGCACCAACCCACCCCTCTTGTGCCTACGACATGCGCGTAGCCAGGAGAATCACTCGCACCGGCGACAAGAGTTGTCTAGGGGATGTGATGAATATTCCCCCCGGTCTGATGCGGGGCTGGGCTAATCTTTTGGTGTTGGTGATGCCATGGGGCACGAAATCGATGGGTGATGACAATTCTGTGCGGGTGTACCAACCTCTGGCTTCGTTGGTGCCACTGCCGCGAGAACTTGAGGGGTATCGGGTGGGTTCCTGCCAACACCATTGTGCGACAGACGCAGTAGCGACGGCAATCAATCCTGCGTTGATACCTGCCAAGGTCATGACCCGGGTCGAGGCGATGCCTTCCTTCCATGTGTGCTGTTGGACTAGTGCATCTTGCGAGTCCGGGCAGGTCCTGCCGATTTATCAGCAGCACCGAACCGGAAGGACCATCGGACCCAACATGAGGCCCGGGCACCTACCTCACCGAGACACGACTTCCATGTCATGTGCACCGCACTCCCCCGGCGATCGAGCAGGACCTCCTCCCGAGCCACTTCCAACTCCACGTCTAGGTACGCCGCGTTGCTCGATAAGGCGAAGCCATGCGCTCCATCCCCTCTCCTTCTCTTCTCATCGGCACTTCGAATTGCGTTTGGTCGACCACCTCGGCCTCTCGCAATCCCCCAACGTCACTCCGTTCCTGACTTTGCCGACGCATCAACATGATCACGCCTCAAGACGACGAACAATCTATCCTCTCCGCAATCGATCGTTTTGTCGCTTGCCTCGGCGAGGACAAGGCTACCGTCGCCAGCTGCGTCGATCACTACATTCATCTCGAAACCGACGCAGCCGCTCGCTTCAACATCGTCACTTTGCGCGCGCGACTTCCCGTCGACGCCGTGAGCATCATCGCCACCCACCACAACCCTTCTACGTGGATTCCGTCCAAGACGTGCATCCCCAAACTGGCTAAAGCCTCAAAGATTTAGCAGATTCCTGGCTCAGCTTTGGTATTCTATTTGCACACCGTTAATGCAGGACGATACTTTTACGCAGCCCTCCACGACCTCGCCACTCGTTGTCCCAGCTTTGAGGAAGCTAGGTCTTTATTACAAGCACAGGCCGCCATTCGAAGAGCCTCCAGTTACAAAACGCCGGGAGTAGACAAGCATGCGCAAGGCATAATTTTGCACGACGTCAACACTGTTCTCAACAGCCTGCGAACCCAAGCCCCACCCCCTTCTCCCGAACAAGGGCGGTCAGAAAAGGTTCGATGTCCCACCATCCAGTCAATCCCACCGTTACTGACCACTTTCCCAGGCCAACCGTACCGTTAATGACGACGACCTCAACGATACAAACACTACGCTGCACCAGTCCATCCTCCAGCCTGCAGCCCCCAGCTCGGAAGACAGCCAATCGCCCCAGAAGGTCCAGCAACAGTCCCCAATTGAGGCTGACCAATTGGACTGGGACCCGTTCGAGGTTGACCTGCCCCCGCAACCCGATCGCTCTGCGGCCCACAATCAGTTTTCATCCTCGGACGACAGCTTTGTCCATCAGACTCCCGACCAAACCTCCTCAACCATCGAAGAACGTTTTAAACACTACGAGTCCCTTGACTACAACAATCTACCTGCATACATCGACGTTCCTTCGCCGAACATCAACAACTCTGGCCAATACACAGTCACAAGTGCATTTGCCGATCCACCTACTGTGCTAGCCGACAGCCAACAACCAAGCATCTTGTCACCAGCTCCAATCCAACCTCAGACTTCCACGATGGCTTCAAATTCCAATCACCAGCAACCGGAGTCACAGGTTATACCGTCCGCCAAGAGACGAAGAATTACACTCCCCAACCCTCTTCGATCTCTCCTGCCAGGGGAAGAGATTCAAGCCTCTTTGGTTTCGGGGATTCTACAAAGCTTATGCGATCTTGTTCCACATCGCGCAGTGTGTTTGGCACCTAGAGGTCCCGCTACAGACGCGACCGCCGTCATATCCCAGACGCAGTCCAGGATGCATGGTGTTTTCGATCAGAGCCCGAAAGAGGCGGTGGTTGTCATGCCACTCCGAACAAACCATCATTGGGCTCTGGCCTTTGTGAGGGTCACAGGCCAAAAGCAAGTCGTCATAGAAAATTACAATGCAGCAAGCGACCAGGAGCTTACCAAGGAGGTAGAGGGTCTGATGTGCAGCCTTTTTGATGTGCCACAGGACAACGACACTGCGCTGCCTAAGCTTTGCCCAAGAAGCTCGTGGAATTCCATCAGCCGACACAGTGTGTCGCAAGCGGACCAGCAAGACTCCGGTGTGGGTGTCCTGATTCACTGCCTCTACGCTCTCGGAGCTACAAGCATTCCAAAGGAAGTTGACTGGCTTCTTTGGCGACGGGTTCTGGCTGCCTACAAGAGCGCCCGAGATTCGCCCTTGGCTGCGGGCGGCAGTTCCACACATCTGACTCCGCCGGGTGACGTATTGGTCCAGCTTCGACGGGAGCATGCAGACTCTCTTGGTACTCGCAGCGGAGTCCGTGTACCGGTACCAGCCGACTCGATCATACGTCGTGCGCTACTTGATGATGCCAACTGGCTGTCTGTGCCAAGCGGTGAGGCTCGCGCCCTTGACGAAGCGCTCGCCGAACTGCGGGCCAAGCTTACATCTGTCCCCGACAAACTCAAGGCCAAGGCACATCTAGCCAGGCAAACCATGTACGACATCAACACCCTGGTAGCGGTTTTACTTGGACAAGCAGCGGAGAAACCAGGCCCAGCAAGCAATCATCTGGAGAACTGTGAGAAAGATATGGATAAGATCAAGTCACTCATACCTCTCATGCGCGGCGGAAAGATGGCCAAAGAGAAGATGCAGGCTGCTCTTGAGACCGCAGAAGGGGCAACCAGGCTCGCCGCAGCTCGCAAAGCAGAGGAGGACAATAACCGCCAGCGCAGTATCCAAGGCCTCAAGGCCATGCAAGACGAGATCCAGAAGATTGAGCGAGAGCTCGATACTGCCGGCGAGGAGGACTCTGATGAGAATCAGAACGACAATAAGATTGATCACAACGACCTGCCTAGCGAAGATGACGAAGATCACGATGCTGACCTCAACGACTCGGCTGACAAGGACAGCGACGACGATGACGAACAACCAAGTCATGAGGAAGATCTAACTGATGACGAGGAACCAAGCGATGGTGAAGAGGATAGGGACGATGCGTAGGCATATTTTGGGCGCTTATCACAAGGTTATTGAAGTGGTGCATGTTTATCTACGGCATTTGTACTTTGCGATCCGCAGTTTAGAACAAAAGACAGTCAGTTCAATTCGCAGCTTGGGGTTCTGCCCCTTCCCTCCACCATAAAGCCGCAATCATCGCCAATGGTGCTTTCGGCATCGGCTTCTGCCCATATTCTCGCTCTCAAGGGTTGTGCCGTCCACGTTCTCAACCACAACCTAATCCACGACCCAGACTTGACCATCGAGTGCTCTCTGGTAGATGCCGCTGCGTCTGGAAGTCTTTCTTCCCTTCTAACTTATTCTTCGCAGTTTGCCGAAATATTCGTCATTTGAACTGCGATGTAACATCCCAGGCTGACTTGCGCGCCGTGCTTGACTCCATCGCGCGCATCGACAAGACCGGGGCGGATGCCGGCGTCTCTGGGGAATTTGAGAACTTCTACAACGTCTTCAACGTCCACAACAAGCACGTCAACCCCGGCTGCGGCGTTGTAGATGCCAACCTCCGTGTTCTGCTCAATATAAACAAGCCCGTTTCAAGCTCAGAGACTCGGGGGGGACCTGACCACCGCCACATCAGTCTCGCTACTGCGCACTCAGCGACATCATCTGAGTCTCCACAGGTGATATCGATTCGGGAGTGAAGCAGGATTAATTCCATCTATGAAGTCATTGACAAGAAGAATGTATGTGGTGCGTTTTTGAAGTCGACAGACACAACTTCTTGATATTTCTCCTGGCACCTTCAACGCCGCTTGCAAGCACGAGTTTCTATCAGTGAGCTCTTCTTCCGGATATCATTAACAAAACTCAAGGCCTATGGGCATCGAAAAGCTCAAGAACAGAATTCTTGCCAGAATACCGGTCAGCATCCCTTTAGGAGTAACGCTAGCTACCACCGTCAGTGGCACCCTCCACCGAACAGTTCACCGCGCACATCATCAGTAACCTTTTCTTGCAAACCACCCACTAGGAGTACTCTGAATCACGTCTTTGCGACGCGCAATAGATTCCGCTCCGTCTTTGACTCTGCATGACGAGTCTTTGAACAACTTAACCCTAAAGGCGCCCGTCACAATGTCAGCATTTATCGCGCCTATGACGAGCGAGATGACGCGCACCCTGACAGGCACGACTCAAGTCTCATTGTCTCGGTCAGAATGTCGCCAACGTGCTGGCCTCGCAGATGTCCATCCCCAGATTGTGGAGGTGGCCAGAAATGGTGCAAAGATTGACGAGGCATCGACGGCCAAAGACGTGCGCCACGCGCGGACCGCCAAAGGTATTTACGTCAGGGAGGCAGCCGGTCTCAAAACCAGATGCAATGTCATGGGCGCCCAAGGCATCAATGGCGTAGTTCAGCTTGCCACCAGCGAGGGCGTGTACCTCTGAAACGGCGGCGTTAGTGGCCAAACAGTCAATAACATCGTGTCAGAGAAGAGTTACATTGGGAAGGCTGACGAGGTGATTTGTCTTAGACAGCATACGGTCCGTTGCAAAAACGTGGTCGCGGCGGCACTGGACCTCGAGAACCAGCTTGAAGCTTATCTCGCTGGCGCTACACCTTGTGATGAGCATAAATTGAGTGGTAGCAACAGAGGCCAGGTTGTGTTACTTTCAATCTGGCGACGGCTGACACGTCTTTACTCAAGTGAACGCAGGGTTGATCGTACATTTGCTGGCAAGCAGGCTGTGAGTTCAGGCAACATTCGCTCTCTACCTGGACTGAGTCAGCAAGGGCAATTCCAATGGTAAGCCAAGGGCGTCAAACCATCCTCCATGCTGTGCCTCGCTTGAGCATGCAATGCATGCATAGATGCGACAACTAGCATTAGTCCCTGAGGTCATTCAACTTTGATCTACTCGTTCTGGGTCACTGGTCTTGCTGGTTGACGCCTGGTTTAGAAGGCGCCGATGTTGGTTGTTCACCAGCGGAAACAGGCAGAACCAACGAAAACTGCAGCAAGGCAATCGAAGATGCAGCGTTTTGGCGAAATACGGTGACAGTACGATGTCGATACGGTGCTGGTTTATGTGTTCAGCCTCAACTCATCTGCGGATGAGCCCGGTCTCCCGGAGCCAACGTCTGAACATACGGCTAAGACCTTCAAGGAAGCATGTTGTCGACTCTGAATTCAAGCACGATTTTCCCAAGCCGTCGACACAAAACGCCCGGTTATCTGCCGAAGTCAAACGTACATCTCATAAATCATAGCCCACAAGTTGTCAGACAGCTGTCTGCCTTCTCTGGGAAGAAAACTGCTTCCTGAGCGCTGTCCTCATTTTCTCTGGTTTCTGTATATGCTGTAAATGAACCTGTCTGCTATTGCTTTGCTTTCCCGCCCTGCTCACACTATCTCTTCCTTCGGGTCTCCTTCTGCGCCTGTTTGGCACAAGCTGTGCCAGCGGACGATAAGGCCGCTCCAACAGCAGCGCGCTCAAAGTTCGCTAATATGATTCCCTTGACCACCGCATTAAATAGTATATTCGGTGTTCGGACGTCTTCGCCGAGAATGGACTGCATGCGGTGACCGCATTGTCGCCCTTTCAAGGTGTGTCTGTCCAACATCTACCGCGTGGAGAGCTAGCCATCCCCACGACAGAAAGATCGTGTGTACGACGTGAACTCAGTGGTCGTAGCAATAGATCCGGTTCATTGACCTGAGGTTGACTAACCCGAGTAACACCAGCACATACATGCCTTGAATAGGCTGCAAGTCTTCGTAGACAGCCGCCCCGTTCTGAGCGTCCTGGATGAATGCTTAAACCGTCCCCTTGCTTGCTCAAAAATGTGTAGCCGGATTCAAGCAGAATTACCTCAAAGAACACGACGCATGTGCCACCCCTTCCTAGCCGCTTGATGCCCATTTCCAGTGTCCGCTGGAGCTGCTTCGACTGAGAAATTCCGCCCGATCGATTGGGTGACAGATAACTGTACGGTGTAGGTTGCGATGGCCACGGTGGGCACCACTGCGCTTGCCCAGTGTATCGACACGTTCGGTCACGTCGAATTGAGAGTACCTTTCCTCGCAAGTCCCAACAGGCACTTTTGAGTGCAGTGTGGCCTTTCTTGGTCGTTACTTCCACCTTCTCCGCCCCTGGCTGCTACGCTAGAACTCGTTGACTGCGTCAAGTTCCCAGGCCACCCTGAGCATGAGGGATTGCTCAGCGTTTCTCTTGTCCCATGGGCATTGGCGTATTTGGTACATCCCGTCTCGACTCATCGTTACATGACTTCTCGGGATCCCGCTGCTCACTCCTGGGCGGCTCGTCTCTTCCATGATCCCGCTTGCTCCACCATTTGCCCTGAAGCAAGTAGTGAGGTCTTTCGAACCCCTTGTACATCATTGGCGGGTATCCTGGCGAGCTGATTGTTGCCCGCCGCTCATCGTCTGAAATCGATCGCGGTGTCGTCTCGAAATTTTCCAACCATGTCTTCAGCTTCTTCATAGTATTGTTCCGTTCGTCCTGTCTGTGTAGCTGTTACCGACCTGGCAGGCCCACAGCCATCAAACTGAAGGCCAAGTATCGGCCGACGGCCGTTAAACAGTGGGAATGGTTGCATGTCCGCAGCAAGCTCCGCCAGATGTTACAGCAGCGTCTCGGACTCTGTCAGGTCGACCCAGAGCAACACAATTGGCTCGCCCCTCGTCAAGAGGCCACACATGTAGTGGTAGGTTTGCGCGATGGCGGCCACGGTAAGCCTTTTGGCGTGATGCTGAAATCGCACGTCCGAGTTAACAGATGTCAGGATCATCTTGCGATCAACCACCTCCTCATACATATTCATCGATCACAACCCGAGACGGAGATGCGGGGCAGTCAATTTGTGAGACGGCTTGTACTCAGGAACGTAGGGCATGGTGCGTTTCGTCGGGCTCATGTTTCTGGATCGGTAGATGCAATGTAGATGCAGATCGGATCGACTCGCAACTGCGGCAGGTCGGGTGGGGTGTGGCGTGGTGTCGAGGGCGGTGTTGATGGGTTCCCGTGGCGGACTACGTCTTCGGTGGTGTTGCTGATCGCATGTGGGGGTTTCTCGAATATTATGCCGTCATCTAGACTGAATGCGCGTTTGACTTCTTCCACGATCTGAAGCTCACTCGTCACAGTTCCAACCGGGTGTTCCGCGCTATCATACAGAAGGTCCTCGAGGACTTTCTTATCGCTGATCTTGCGCTTCGGGATTCTGGCTCCTAGACCAGATAAACAAGAGCGGTTCTCAAAAAGATGTCCACCAATGGGAAAGTTTTCGTAGAGCATGCCGAATGTAACCTCCTGTTGGTACAGGAAATCGTCCCGTTTGTCGCGCGGGGCGATGACAGGCCCCTCAGAGGCCAAGTTGCAGTCTGTTCCGACGTCGGGGCGACAGAATTCAAGGGAATGACAAGCAGAAATATAATCGTCGAACATTGTGGGCTACGTTTGTTGCTGTTCTTCGCCTCGCTCCTCCTCTGCCCCTTTCGCTCGTACTTCCGCCCCCGCCGGTCACCGTGTCAGCTCTTCGCTACTTCTTGACAAATCGACCATGGCGTTGGTGGTTGGCGTGGAGAGGAGGCGCCGATTTACACGACAGGTCTGAGATGTTGTGAAGATGCAGCGGCCCGCGTTGATTCGAATTATTACACGGACAATTTCGTTAGGCGACGCTGTGTGGGGATGTCAATCAGCGCTCGGCTTACCTTGCGCGAAAATATCGGCCCCACACCGACGAGCCACGGGCCCGCACCCGTGCCGGACCCGGAGACCGTGCTCGCCGCCCGAAAGACGAAAATTTCAACTGGGCCGCAAAGCAGGGGGTAAAATCGGAGACTCGTGTCTTGGGTGGGATGATTTGAGATGGAACAGACGAGAGCTTGGCCTTTTTAGGCCACTTTGAGTGGACCAAGAATCGCTGGATATGTGAAAACGACGGCATTTGGGCCGGGATTCCAGCCCTAGGAGCGGACCCAACATCGACCTCTAAATCACTTACAGATGGTAGTATCGGATTGCGAAGGTGAAGTGTTTGGGAATAGATATTGCTTTACTGAGATGGTGTGGGCTTCAATCATATAGGCGTGGACAGGTGGTTCAATTGGTGTTGCTTTCGCATTGTGAGAAGTTTATTGCTAACTACCTCCCGAACTGAAACATCGCCATGTAGACACATAAACGTTCTCCGCATTGACATAACGTCGTGAAACGTCCCCTCTGACATGAAGCAGCTGTTGATTGCGTCGGGCCACTGGGAAAGGAGAGACGCCAGGATGGAGAAATTTGCCGAATCGAAGATTTTGAGTTATTTTCGTTCTGTCTTATGGCAAAGTATCCAGTGATAATCATGCTCGCTGTATGAAAACATCTATCACATTCCCTGCGTCTGCAATGCCCAGGCTGAGGTCCTCGGCCACTTGATGTGACTTATTCGCATATGATGTCTGAACTCTCCAAGAGACTCCATCTTCTCAAGCGGTGGATTATCTCGAAAAAAGTGATTACGCCATCTTACATCGTTGCGCCGGAAAGCTCTTCTCCCCTCATGATGGCCCGAGAAATTGTCGCTACTGACTGTGAGGCCACGTCACTTAAGAGCTGAACCTTCCGCGTCGGTCCAATTATCAACGACCCAATATGGCATTGATACAGCTGGAGAACGCGGAGAAAGCAGGTAGATGCAGAAGATTGTTCCATGTCAGGTTACATTTGACGGTTGATCTGGCTGTGATTACATTTGACCGTCTTCAACGCCACTCGTCTGCCTCCCGATGTCACATACTGACTGTTTGGAGAAGTGCATCATCAGCGTTCACGGATCTGTTGTCATACTGGTCTTTCTTGCTATTGACACCATAGTCAAGCGTAGAATCCCGGTGCGCTTGTCCTAACTCCTTGCCTCGTGCAGGATGTGGCCCTCAGTTCTGCTTATCCCGCTGGCGTACCAGCCATCAGCTTCTTTGATTCGGCGGCAAGATGTCCCAAGGTTCCTGAGATATATCCTTTATTCAGTTTATACCAACTGCCAGCATGATGTAGGTGTGAAGTTCGTCAAGGGACTTCTTCATGTTTTGTTCGTGGAAAGGAATCCGCGGAGTAAATGAGTAGTTGCCATCTAGATAGGCGCCGTTGAAGACAATGATCATAGTTTCCAGTCTTGCAATTTGATCAAAAACAAATAAGCGGCATTCCCTACAGTCTGATCTACCAGCACTCGGTATTAGAAGTCCTATCTTATGTCATCTCACTGCTCACAATTGATTGCACTCGCACGTCCTCATTTCTGGAAAAGACCTGGCTTCCACGCTTCCTCCAACTCGTTTCCAAGCTATGCCATACAAGTAATCTCTCAACCTACAACGCTTCATGCCTTCGTTCTGAGACAAGCTTGAGCTGTAGAACTTCGGAAAACCGGAACTATCAGCACTGGCTCCTCTTATCGCACAGATTGTACTGGACCCGGGACCTTGAATGCAACGACTGCCCCGCAACTATCACGCTCACAGTCTGGGAAAACCTGTCTCAAAGTGCGACGGCGGCGGTCGCACTCACGGGGCACAACTCAAGTTCCTTTGCAGGCGTGACGTGGAATCAGGTTCTCGACTTCATTAGCTTGTGTGAAGTTTCTGAAATTCAAGATGCCTGAAAAAAAAATCATGGGTGTGATGGGAATCAGTAAAGCCCACAGACGATGCACGCCGCAAATGCTCCTGGTCTACTTTCATCATCAGGCCGCTTGTAGTGTAATATCTCACCAGCATGGCAGACATGTCGCGCAAAGGTTGAGAAAGTGGACGGACTTTATACTGTTAATTACAGGGAGGACTGCCTCGTTCAGCGGAGAATAATGGCGGGAGTACGCCATCATTGCTGCATCACCTGGTCTGTAAATTGCCCCGCAAATTCTATCCTGGCATCTTCTCGCCAGGTCTAGGAATCCAGATGCTCGGATCCCAGCATCATGAAGAGAACTGTGCTGGCCAAGGAGCTGAGGGAGGGGCACATAATACACGATTCAAGGCAGCAGACCGAACCAGCTTCATGCTACATAGCTATCACGCGCTTTGCAACAGAGATTATTCGAACTAGACTGTGAAACATGATGGGGCTCTCTATGTTGCGTCAGCAAGGGACTGCTTATTACATCTCTCCTTGATGGCATGACATAGTTATTTAGAGCTGTGATTATTCGTTTATGGTGTTTCCCCTGCCCGGGGGATCTGCATGTCAAACGAGGCCAGCTTGTGTCTGCAACAAGTCACTTGCGCTCGACTCCTATGACACCTTTGGACGTCAGTCTGGTTCGGCTTCCAGGTTGTCAGAGCCTCGTTACGAAGACTAGAACACTTCTTCAAACGCGATGGAAGATGACAGCTCTCTTGTATGTATACAGACTGTCAGAGCATCCCACTGAAAGCGCTCAAAGTCTTGTGCTTTCACATACACCGACCCTGACACCTTGTGTCAAGCATTTGCGCCGTTCTGCGATACTACCCGCGACAATGTGATCAAGTTGTAGGGTGCTTGGCAAATATGGACCCCGACTCACGGGACTTACTCTACTGCTTCGAAGTCTTTAAATGCTCGGGGCTCTCGAATGCATGCAGAGACCTCCCCCACCAGGCATTGGATCTTGGACTTTCTTTGATAGGGGAACTGTTAAACAGAGCCTCCATTCCTCTGGATGTTGCTTTCAAACGGGCAATTTTCTCTTGAAGTCCCATGCCAAGGGGACCATCAATGCTGCGCTCGTCGTGCTCAATATGTTGCTTTCTCCAGATTACAAAGCTCAGAACTTTGGCGAGTCCCCACTAAAAAGAACAAAACTGACTTCATCATCAATTTTTGAAGGTCGCAATGGGAGCGTCATGAAGTCAGAGAGGCTTTATGCTGTTAGCAACCTCCCCGATCTTCCTGCGCGGCGCACGACGCATTATCATGAAAAACGTCATGGAGACTATTGCATTGTTGTCGGAGAGACGAAAGACGCTTTGTATTATTTGCCTGACTCCTATAGGTGTACTTAGTTGTTACAGAAAACTCCTCACGATGACCGCGATTCGGGTTGACATAGTGTGCCTTGGAAAGCAAGCACGTGAGGAATTCAACGCACCTGATATCAAGGTCGATAATCACCGTTTTCGCTATCTTATGCTCAGTTATTGCTGGTCATCCCTTCCTCATCGGAATACAAAATCAACTGGAAACTCTGCTTCATCTGTGCATGCCTGATAAATATGATTATGCGTTTGTGTTTATACCAGAAACGTGAACTCTCCTTCGGAAGAAGCCTTGAATATGGGGCAAGACAGTAGAGGCACCCATGGCGGAGTATCATCAATCTGCAGGTGCAGGGTTCCCGTTGGACACAAGTCGTCGGCTGAAGAGAAGCCTCGGGGCCGGGATTCAGTACTTGAGGCGGGGCTTCGGCCGACCCTGGGTCAGCACTCCGGAAGCCACAGTCACAGTCACGTACACATTCCGCAGTCAATAGCATCCACACAACCAGTGGCAGATCGGCCTGACGTGAATTCAATTGCTTGAATGCCACAATTCCGTCTGATTCTACAAGGCTGTTATAATTTCGGACTAACCCTTGGTGCTTGTGCGTTTGTAATTACGCGTCGATCTGCATGGGCAAAGGCCACTACCGCCCGACCCAGCATGATATTTTGCCTCGGCCAGCAAAGACCCAGTTGACGCTGATAAAAACAGATTGTTCTACCAGTGTCAAACGCAATACTGTCTTTGCATCCTTCAGGCCGGGCCTGTGATCTATCTACCAACGCACTCTCTTCCCAATCATTGATTCTAGTCCTCGGAGTGGAATTCATTCAAGAGAACGACGGCTTTTTCCCCACAATCATGACCCTGTTCGTTAGCAACTACGACATGAATACGGTGACCAGGTCCGTCTTACGGTGACACTTGCGTTGCATTCTTCGTTTGGGAACACAACATATGCGAAACGGGGCAGCGACACCATTGCTGCCCAGAGGGCCGCGCATGATCGTTTGAAAGAAGTTTATGGGCCGTAGAACTCACTCGTCCCTGAATGATCGCAGCCCGCCCGCGACTTGTTGAATGATACTCTTATCTACGTAGCTTATGCCACATTCGCAGACACGCCGCAGGCTACAACTCGGAACATGACCCATGAAGATTGAGTCGCCGCATCGATCGCATGCAATCAAATCCCTAATAAGGCAATGCTACAGTACCTTTCTCTTCGAAATAAGCCATAGCAGGAGTATGTTGGGAGAAGATGAGAATACTTCCCAAGTCAGTTGAGTCACAAGCGCAATGCAGCTGCATCTGCCAAACCCCCGGTACTACGTCTGCATCTATGATCGCTTCCTTGGATTCAGCATGCATGGCGAAATCAATGCATGTTTGAGGGAAATGATTGTGTGCAGCTCCACGCAACAGAAGAGGCCATCAGGGTTGTCATCGACATCGCAGAGCCCCTCAAGATCAATAACGCCGCCAACGACACGACCTGCTCAACCACCTCCGTCGAGACTGGACAGCCGAATCTAAGTTACCATGCCGCTGATAGACTGGAAGGACATTGTGGAATAATTAATCTCCCAGTGCATGCCATCGAAACAACCTCAAGAGCCTTCAGGGCACAAGGACCAAATCTATGCATTCGAAAACCGATTTCACCGCATGAGCAGGACTGCGTCACACAGATCCCCGGAGACGCATTCCAATCCATCATTTGAAGTGCTTTGCAGCCGAACCATACCGTGCCCATCTTCACATCTCTCAGTCGGAATGATGAAAACACTTTCTAGCTCCATTGGGTCCGCTTGAGTGAAACAGCCCATCGCTCCCATGCCTTGGTCCGTGAATGTCTACTACCGCGTGCGCATGGCTAACCAGAATCTCGCCGGCCATTGATTCATCCGGTATACGGGCAAATGCTTGCGGCGTCTAAAGATCAAATGAGCCGCACCACAGATCCGTTCCGGAAGAAATGAAGAGTCCAGCCTACTTCAAGTCAAACCGGCCATCCGGACGCCGACGAGGTTTCCATGCCAATCCATGAGCACAGATATGCATTACTCAGTGCATTCCATATCAAAGGGTCTGCAGGCGTGTCTTAAGGACGTGTTCGGGCAGCATTTTGTGAAGAATTCTTTTGTGAATTTTTGTATGATCAGAGATACATAAGAGGTCCCCCTTACTCTAACTACCTCCTATATATCTAATTACCCCTATTAACTACTACTACGCTATAGTAATTATATATATATCCTTAAGTTCCTTTAATACGACGTTATACTTTAATAACATAAAACGCTCAATTTAATTAATATTATAGAGCTTATTTATTTTAAAGTTTATTTTAATATATTTAAAATATCTCTATACTTTAGTTTAATAATATATTATTTTATTAAAATATACTAGTAAAAAGTAATAATATATTAAACATACTATTAAACTTTATATTAAAAAATTAAGTTATATATTTAAAAATCTATATACTTTATTTTAGCTATTTTAAGTAATTATAAAGAAGTTATTACTTATTTTAAAGTAGTAATAAATAGTATTAACATAATATAGTAATAATATCTTAATATTAAAAGACTAATAAGTTATAGAAGTATAAAGAGGGAGATACTCACTTTTTAGTAATTTATACTTTTTTTATATACCCCTATAAGTAACTATAGAGGTTTCTCTATAAACTATCCTAGCCCTTAAATATTTCCCTATAAGAGTTATATAGTAGTTAATAAGGTGCGCCTCTAGGCGGCAAACTACGAAGAACAAAGTTAGAGGGGAAGAAAGACGTGTTTGGGCAGGGGGAGGGATGGCATGAGCATCAGGTGAAGGACGTCATTGGCAATGGCGTTGGCGACGGTTCTTTGCACAAACACGGCTTTGCCCCTGACATCATGAGAGAGGAACGATTCAAGCGGTGTTTCTAAATGTTTCCGAACAATGTCAGTCCCTCATGTTGAGAGTTGGTCATGAAGGAATGTGGATGAGGAGCATGATCTGGCTTTGGAAACGACGATAATCTTAGCTTAGATAATCTGCTAATCGACAGATCTGGTAAGCGAATCAAAAACCATAGTGCAAGTGATTACTAGCTCAATTTTGCGCCGTATCAGGCGGCCCTCATGATGGAGTGCCAGTCAGCCAACATCGCCAGGACAAAGGGCACACCTCCACAAGCCGGAGGCAGCCTAGAGAAAGACACCATTCTCACCACTGGCATGTGCGCCGGGCGGTAAGTGATTTGTTCCCAAGATCAAATAACTCCTTTTCAGACTGTTTCACCTCAACCTTCAGCTGCCATCACATCCCCAGCTCCGACCTTACAGGGAAATAATGTAATCCATCCGGATATTGTTTATTCGTGTTCCTTTGGCCAAGACCTGTTTCCGCCGTCCTATTGAACTTGGCGCGAGTATCCAAAGCCAACTCTTGGCACAGCCTGAGCCTGTCAAACCTCCATCAACCAAAAAAAGACACAACCCATCTCACAGCGTGGATAATAATTCTAGAGGTTCAAGTGCCTGATGTGCGTCCTAAAGCTCCCGCTCGCAATTCCTATAGCCGTCAGCAAGAAGGGAGGTGAAGCGAGCTTCCCAAAATGGGCATGAATCGCTGCCGAGAAAAAAGCTCAAGTGTTCACGGGCATCATGTGTGTCAAGAACGAAGACACTGACAGTCACATCTCAGGCCTTTTGTCGGAGCGCTTAACCGACATTAATTTCTTTTGCAACGCTTTGAGATTGCCATAGTGAAAGACCAAGACCAGTGATTACAGCTGGTCCAGAACTCTGCCTTACGATGAGGTTTGAGATTCACGGCGAGATGAGCAGCTGATTCAGCGTGTGCAAGTTTGCCACGATATCACAGGGGGCTGCGCCAGAGCTTTGCACGGTACCTGAGGTGAATTGGGATGTTCGAAACGAACTCATCTTTGATTACCACAGGCTCCATATCTATCCATACTCCATGTCACTGAAGCCCCAGCCTAACAATCGTATTCCGTTCAAATGATGCGACCTGATTTCATGCTCCATTCAATTGATACAGACATCCTCCGACTTTTCATACATCCCTTCTTCCACCGCAGCGTTGACCAGATACAGGCATCAATGCACACAGGCAAGAACACCAGGTTGTAGCAATTCTACGCGTCGACAATCCCTTCATCGGTTTTCTCAATGGTGCCTACGGCCTGGATTGTGGCGGCTGCTCTGGGGACTACGTTTGCTTCGAAAAGGTGGACAAGATCAGCCTTGTTTTTGGCCTTGGTGTAAGCGACTTCATGGGCGGCCAGCAGATTCCGCAACTGTGGGATCGTAAGGGATTTCGGGTTGAAGCTTGGATGTAGGTACGAGATATCGTCGGTAGGGTTGGGTATGTTTGGGAGGGGCGTGTTGGTGTCGACCTCGGGCGAGACGCCATTGATGGGCCCGTTGGTTGAAGCGTCGGTGGTGGAGTCGTCTATGAACTGGTCTGCCTCGACGGAGAGGTCTGAAAGCTGGGCGGAGAGGGTAGTCAGATCTCCAGCCTGTATGTCAGACGGTTTGACTTGATGCTCTTGCACGAGCTGCAGGAGCTGCGGCTTGCGGGCTCGGCTTGGTACAGCGATTGCACAGGTCTGCAAATAGTTACGCAGCTGGGCGATGGTCATTACCTCCGCATCTTGAGCCAAAGCGGCTGGGGCGTTCAGAGCTGTGCTGGTGGGCTGGGATGGCTTGTCGTTCAGAGTGGCTTGGTCAGCTGCGGTCGGGTTGGGCGTTGCCTCAAGACTGTCGATTGGGAGATCTGGCTCGAATTTGGCATCCGAATTCTGCCTGTGATGCTCTGCAGCTAGTCGGACGAGCTCTGCCTTCCTCGCCCGGGACGGAAAGCGAATGGAGTGGGCTTGGAGGTGCTGTCGAAGCTGCGCAACGGTCATCACATCGATGTCTAGATCGATTGCGGGTGGAGCGCTCTGGTCCGGGATGTTTGGTGGATCGTTGTCCTCGCGCAGGGTGGCCGAGGCACTGGTCGTTGGGGTCGGCTTCGGGGGTCGGACTTGGCGCACCATGCTGCAGTCGGAGGCCGGATTCTATCGGTCGAGGTGATGCCTGGAAAGAAAACGAGCTAAAAAGCGAGAATATGCGGTTGATGGAGACAAGCGACCGTCGGAGATTGCAAACGAGTGGAAGTCTGGTGGAGGAGATGCCGTGTAGTTGGATGGTGTCACGAGGGTTGGATGGACTGCGTGACATGCGAATCAGCAAGAGGTGCAGTGCTGCATGACGGTGCTCTTGCCTCGTTTCACGCAGAAATCTAGGCAACTGCCCTGGGAAACAAGTATCTCAGCAACTTCCTCATCGGCTTGGTAGCGTCTGTGCCTTCCCGTGACGCATGTTTGGGCGCAGGCCCGACGTGGATGCATCGGCGTTAGTTGGCCATGCCAGTCGATGTAGAAGGTAGGAAGCGAGGTGTTCGTGGTTTGCATTTACGAAAGCTTTCGAGGCTGCAAGGGGAACAATCCGAAATGAAATGGTCAAGCAAAGGCATTGAAGATGGCCATGTTGTAAATTCAACCAACCGACCACCACGCCGACGTCCAGTAGACTCCTATGGAAGGCCGGGACATCTCTTCCGACGGTATGCCGAGAGGGCTGACCTTCTGCCTCTGAATGTCCACTTCTTTCTCGAAATTGGGTTGATCTTCTTGAAAACCACTGGGCGGAACTCCGTCGCGAAGTGAGGAGTCCGCACATAGAGTCGACGTCAGATGCGCGATGGATTTGAGACATTTACCCGTTAATCCTCGATGGTGTTGCTTGCTTACAGCCGCCTCTGCTTGGCTCAACGGTGGGGATTGGCTTGGACGCATCTCCTTCGGACGCACCCAAACTCGCTGCGCCCGAAGAGCCAGGGAACGTGAAGGAGCTTGGGTGCGTTATTTCCAAGGAAAGAAGGGGCGAAGCTGTGTCATTCCTAAGCTACCTCATCGATTACGAGCCTGCTGAGGCGGGAGTGCTCTTGCTGAAAATGTGAACAGCGCGATATGCGGAAGGCGCATCAGCTCTCCATTCCCCATGAACCATCACCTCCTTCAGCATGCACCACAGGATCTTGCGCAGCCCGGTGTCCCATGACCTGGGTCACCAGGCTTGAGGCGCTGTTGGTGGCCAAGGCAGAGGGTAACTTCGGACCAGTGTCTGTGCTTGGGGAGGTGCTGACGATTTTTCGGCATCACCTCCCCCGAAGGGCCCTGAAGCGAATGTAGCCCCGTACTTCAAAACCACCCCGGGCCATGCACGCCGTCAGCCATCACCAAGCCAGCCCAAACGGAACGGGCCGTCCCGCCGCCAAAATGCAGCCATCAACGACCACAGCCCAGTAATAGTAGAACTGTTCTTATTTTAAAGGTTTCACTTGCATGATGGGAAATTGACTTTGCACCAAGCCGTGTGGGATGTGCTTTGATGCGCTCTCCGTGCAGAAATCGGGGTCCAAGGAGACATTCTCGTCGAACACTGGAGCTCTTGTTCTTGGGACGCACCTGATTACGTCATGTGCCCTGTGCCTGGGTCTGGGCTGCGCACCTCTCTGGGTCTTCGGGCGCAGCTTCGGACGCACCTGACTACGTCAGGGTTGCCTGCTTCTGTGGTTCTTCGGACGCAGTGGTTTTGGCTGCGTCCGAAGAGAATGCGTCCGAAGGCCCGCCCCCCCGCCTAATTGAGCTACCTGCCATTCTGAAGCCTCGCGCCCCTTCATGTCTTCACAGCGTGCTGGCACACATCTGCTGCGCAATCCCGCAGTCAATTTTGAGGCGGCATCCCGGAGCCGGCCATGTTGCAGCCGAACGACAAAGAACGCCACGATCCGACCCGATAGATACCGAGAAAAAAGCGCATCCGTAAGCCCATTGCACTGATTCTCTTGTTGAGCCAGATCAATCGACCGGAATCGTTTCGGGTGCCACGAGTAACAGCCAGGTTGTCCTCACGCGTCGCCACCGCAGGCCGGGCCTCAGATCATTGATGCACTTGCGGAACACGAGGGCTTGTCTCGCTGGATTTTGCAGATCTAATTGCCCGCGCGCAAACATGCTTCCAGCTCGCTGCAATGGAGGGGCGAGGGCAACGGGGATCCGGGACGGGGACGAGATGCGGCACTATCAACGTACGCCGCTAATCCCTGAACACCATCGTGTCCGTCTTCAACGGACAATCTTTTGGATGCATGCAAGACAATTCCTCTCGAAGCCAGTCTTGATTCAGTCGCGGGTGAACAGATCATACCAAATGTGTCTGCGTAGCCGCAAATTTCGCTGCTGTGTAAGGCGGTACCTACCGGGGAGAGTGGGTGCACACCTACAGTGCCCTTCAGGGGAGGTGCTGACAAAAGTTCGTCAGCACTTCTCCCGTCACCAGCCCATAGGCGCTGCTGCACTTCAGAGTCGTTACTTCAGGTCAGTCAACCCAGATCTTCCCTTATGTCCCGTTTCGTTGGCCGAACCTACCCACGTTTTGCACCTGCACCGACGTCGCACATCGAACAGCATGACCGACGCGTCCGGAAATCTCAAGACGCTTTCATTTCCCGAGCGACACCCTCCATCGCAACGTCTGGAAGTGGGCTCATGGCTCAGACATACCGCCGCTTTCTCAACCGTCAGCCTTTTCCCGGTCCCCGGTCATGGCCGAGGCAGGCAGTCGTTTGGACGACCGGCCTTGAAAGCAGCCAATCGTCGGCCAAACAAGTCGCATTACGATCCTCCCTTCTTTGTTCCCTCTCCGACTCTTCCAAAGTCCGCGCATCTGCGCATGGGATGATTGTTTGCACTGCGGCGTCCAAGCAATGTTAGGACGTCTCCCGCGCCCCCCTTCCAGTGTTGTTTTGTCTAACTGTCTCCTTGGCAGGGCTTTTGACGCCAACTCCATCGCAATGGCATCCTGCCCCCCTTTCTCCCCGACCGCGAGACCGAAAGAGCGATGGAGTCCGACAAGATGACGAACAACATTCCGACCGCCGACCGAGTCCAAACGGTGCAATACGAAAGCTTCATTGATGCCCGGCATCGATACCGGCGCGATCATCTTTACCGCCTCTCCCGTCCCCGCCAAACTTGTCGACCTTTCACACGCGTAGCCTTGCTGTACCGAAGCCGCTCGAAACCCACCACCAGAGCCCTCGACCTGCATTGCTCGAGACATCAGCCACGCGCCCATACCCACCATACACGTTGATCAACGTGGGAGCTTGAGGCACCTATTAGTGGCTTGTTCCAAAGATAAGGTGGCTATGGGTAGTATGGTTCAACCTGAGGCGCAGCAGGGGCTTTGTGGCAGCGGACGAGTCGGCAGCATGCCATCCAATTCGAAGGTTCAGAGGCAGCAGCAATGCGATTCAAACAGTCATCTACTCCGATGATTCGCGACTTACCTTGGATGCAATGGGGAGGCAAGTTGGATGCAGTCAGATGGACTGCTTTCGGCTCAGGATCTTCCTAGTCCCAGATATCGTCTGTCAAATAGCTCGCGAGGTGTTCTATGTCATCGCATGTGCCGTCGCATCTGCCGTCGTGTGTTGCTGCTCCAATATCTAGTGTCATCGTGGACTTGCTCCCAGGATTCTCCCGGCAAGTATCCGCTCATCGCTATTTCGATTTCGCGATTTAGCTTTCCCACTCTCCATCTTCCTTCGCCTGGTCGTCCATCTGGCCCCCTTGCTCGCTCTGCGCCCTTCCGTATCCATTTTCTTGCGAAAAGCGACCATGGACATGCAAACTATTTTGTCTTAGTTTGATTGGTGTCTCTGCTATCCCTGCGGCGGCATTCATCGTCAAAATGAAGGCCATAGACAAGGTGACTTCAAAAGGACCAACCACGTCATGCTCAACGCCAACGTTAAGCAGTGTGCACCCATAGAAGAATACTTTTTCACTATCCAGCCCAGCAACAGTCCCATTCACCTGGACCGAAGACTTTCCCCCAAGATGCTCTCAAGATACGAAGACACTTGAATTGGCGTCATGCTTGTTTGCGTCTTTGTTCCTGGTAAAATACAGTTTCGTCTCCAATTGGTTGTAGCGTGATTTCGAAGCGGGCGATATTCAGATTGCGGACATCCGTCATTTGCTCCAGTTCTTCGGACGCATCAATTTTGGGTGCGTCCGAGTGGTGCCAAAATCCAGGGGTCCGAGCTTCGGACGCAGCCATTCTTACTGCGTCCGGACCGTAAGTCAACCAAAATTTGGGTTGGTCCTTGCCCAGAACCTTACACAATGGGGTTCAGGGCGCCCTCAGAGTGCCAACACTGTCCTTGGGGGAAGGTGGTGACGATTTTTCGTCAGCACTTCTGGCACCAGCACCCACCCACACCCTATGAGGTTTTTAAGCACCAAAACCCCACATCTCTCTGGGACGGCCAATCAGCGCACTTCACCATTCTCCTGGCCTGGTGCTGCTCAATCAAGTAAAGCCTCCTCCTCTTCTCCGATACCAATAGCTGCACGCGATTCTAGCGATAAAGAGTCTGAGTTTGCGACTGGCTACGTAAGGGAGGGTAGATAGCTGTAGACGCAGCATGCGCCATGAACGCCGATGCCGAAGCCGAAGATTACTGTTAGCTGGAACAAATCAGAGTGTTTGCTTTGTTGTCCCGACGTGCTGCGCAACATCAAATTCGCTGCGACCGACGATTCTTGCCAAACCCAATGGCCCGGGCACTTGAGCTTTAGGTGCATCACCAGCCACTGGGTTCGGATCCAAGGTCTTACAATCCCCAAGCAAACCTGTCATTCAGTATTGGGGCTCGCAAAATGGAAGTCGAAATTAACTTTGAAGCCTGCGCTGTTAGCCCGCATTTTCAGATGATCTGCACGAGGGGAGGCCCGCGTCCGATCGCGCTAAACTGAGAACGGCCAGGCGCCAGACGCCAACAAGTCTTCAGGCCGTTGTGCACGCCAGCGATTGGGACCCTGCATTTATTTCACATGCTGAAGGGCCGCGATTAATGTATGCTTCTTGCAGTGATTGAAAAGGAGTGGCATGGCTGGTTTATCGGAGATGAGTCAGTATTGAT